CTGAAGGGTGTTGTATTTATGGTTTTCTCATTTATATCTCATGACTCGTGCAACTTTTCTTACAATGTTTCTTACCAGAATCTACTCTGTACCTTACCCATGATTCTCCCCAAAAGTTCATGATGCCTATCCAAAGCAATGACTAGAAACTGATATATTTTGTTTATCAAGATGAAATTATCATCTTGATTTTTATTTTGGGGAAAAAATAATAAAAGCACAACCATGACTGACTGAGATATTAATATTGAAAATTTTTATTCCAATATTACCTGTGAACTTTAATGTAATGAACCATTCATTAATGATTTATAAACGTTAATAACTTGTGAAAGTGAACTTTAATGTAAAGCGAACATCTGTGAACCAGTTATTAATGAGTTATAAACGATAATAACATCTAAAAGTGAACCTTAATGTAAAGTGATCACCTGTGAACCATTTATTAATGATCTGTAAACGTTAGTAACCTGTGAAAGTGAACCTTAATGTAAAGTGATCACCTGTGAACCATTTATTAATGATCTATAAACATTAGTAACTTGTAAAAGTGAACCTTAATGTAAAGTGAACACCTGTGAACCATTTATTAATGAGTTATTGACATCATTAACCTGTGAAAGTGAACTTTAAAGTAAAGTGGACACACTAATCATTTATTAATTATTAATGCAGACACAGAAGGTTTTGTTTTTTCTCGGTTAAATGTATTTTATTATTGATGCACCATATCAGTAAACAAAACTACTTAAACAACATTACTGAGCATAACTGCACATGGAAAGTGGCTTATACAAGTAAACTCACATTAAACAATTCAGAAACACAATAAAGTATTCCATCACATTATAACTAAGCACCAAATAATATACATATTTATATTTGATCTAATTTAACAATTTTGAGTAAATAATTAAATCAATGACTGAAAGCACAGTTACAGAACATTATCATATTAATAAGCAAACAGTAATAATTTTTTGATATCATGATAAAGGCTAGCCCACTGTAACTTCAGTATTTGTTCATCCACACT